AGCATGCAAATTGAGTCCTGTCAAATGATCCAGCATCTATAGAGAGGAAGAAGAGAAAGGAGCGTAAGTTTCAAGGCAACGCGTTCAGAAGTCCTCGTCCCCTATAGAACGAGCCGGAACCCATTATCCAGTTCATACAAAACTGCCATCACACTGTAGGGTTCACATATTTTAATTGATTTACAGATAAACTGTCACGCTCCAAAGTCTCAAGACATTGATTTTTTTTTTTTTTTTATTCCATTTTCTTTCGTTTTTTTAACTCTTTCTCCTCCCGACTTCTTCTGGTTTCACTTTTTCCCGAGCTTTTTTCCATTTTTAATATTCATCTCTTACTTGTTTTCTTACTAGTTCTGTATTAATTACAGCACACTGTAGAGAGATGTCCTCTTTTTTAGCAAAATTATATTAATTTATGGCGAAATAATCATTTGAAGATAAATTGTAAAAAAAAAAAAATAGGGCCATACGAAAATGTGTTTTTTTTTTTTTGTTTTTTTGTAAATTATTTACCTACCGTTTTACCTCACGACAAATTTGAAATGCACTATTTCTGAGCCTACTGGCTTGTTTTGGGATTGTAGGAAATTTATATTCACCTAGCACACGGCAACTAATTATTTCACAAAAAGATTTAAAAAAATCATACATCAAACTCATACCTTTTAGAATTAACGACCTTAGAATTTAGTTCACCTCACAGATGTTTTTTATAGAATTTTATTCTAATTTGTGCTCCTGCTACAACTACTGAATTGCCACATTTCTGCATTCTTATTGAATGTTAAAGGATTTGACTTCACTTTAACCCACAACACAGAGTGTCTTCTTTTATATGCAGATGTTAAACCTACCCTTTTTTAAAATTGTTATTACTGCAGTCTGTGTTTATATTTAATCCTCCCGTTACTTGACCCATAAACTGAAATACAAAATTATCACAGACCTACATTTCCAGTTTGGCCGTGACATTTTTTCCCCCCATTGTATGCCCCATGTGTTTTACAACATATTTAGCTGTGATTTCCGCCCCGGCTGGCCAGCTGCACAATAAGGCTGCATTGAGGACAACAAGCTTGGGGGAGTTAAAGTGGTTAGTCTGATCAGCAGAATAGAGATGCAGTAGTACAAGGGGGGAAACAGATGTTTGTGGTCCGGCTACATCTGCTGCAGTCACTTCTGCCAAAGAGGAGAGCCGTGTACAGAGAGCACAGTGCTGGGGTTGCAAAGAGGGAGGGAGGGAGGAGAAAATGGAAAAAAATAAAAAAGAGGGAGAAAAGGCTACGTAGATAGAGAGAGAGGGAGAAATGGCACTGAGATGAAAGGATTGTCGAAATGTGAGATGAAAGATACGTGAGGCAGGGAGAAAGAAACATGGGGCGAAAAGAGGCGTTTGAGGATGACCGAGCGGCTGCTGACGCCAGGCAGGCCGGGCGTGCGGTGGGCAGCAGAGGATGGTGCAACACAGAGAAAAACAGACAGATAGCAAAATCCAAAGAAGACAAAAAAAAAAGAAACATTTACTGTACGTGATGTAGTCGAACCATCGGCTGCGACGATGGGGGCATGTGGCTGCGGAGAAGAGAGACAAGGGCTGGTGAAAGAAGATTGATGAAAGAATGAACTGAAAGATGTGTCGACAGCCGTGGATTGTCAGAGTTAAGCCGTTGCCATTCAGATAGGGCCTTCAAAGGAAACAGCAGACGACTGATGAAATTCAGCTGCAGCAGGAAAAAATAGGATTCCTTCTGTAACAGGATGCTGAGACAGAGGGAAGATTGATGCAGAGTGAAAAGATAAGTCCGAGCTCAACAATCTGATCTGTCACACTGGTTTAGGCTCCCTGGCTTTGTACTTCACCTAGGAGAAATAGTATCCCATCAAAACTTAAATTCTGCAGTGTAAATAATGAACCTAATGGATCTTCACAGCAAAACGGAGCCGTGAATGGAGTCTGTTTCCACGGACGGGGGCTTTTCCTCACAGTCCTCTTCTGTGACTGAGTGTAACCTTGGATCAAACACCTCCCTTATTACCATACGACAGGAGAGAGCTGTCAGGAGTCAGTCACTCCAGTGTGTGTTCTCCATTTACAAGAGGGAATATTGTAGAAGGCGTAAATGCCACACAATCCCCAACCTAATCCCCGTCTCCAGCCTGGCCTGGAAACCCAGGTGTAGGAATTGATTGTATTCCTCTTTTTCAGGGGTGGGTTCACCCGTTTTGGTCCACAGGCCCTAGTTTTTCCAGAGGTCTTCTACATCTTTACTGGCTGAAAACATTTGGTAGAACTAGTGGCAAGTATTAAAAATTGCATCTGATCTCCTTGGATTACCACTGATCTCCATTAAGGTGGACCTCAAAAATGTTCACGTTCTCAGATCTGGTCGTCTAATCATAGAGCAATAAAGGATTGTTTTTCATCATAGATTAATCCGCGAGTATTTTTCTTCCACCATAATCATTTGTCCCAGAATCTTGCTTCTTGTGGGTCAGATGTGAGTTTTGCACGCCTGAAAATATGACCAAACCGGGGCACTGGGCTGCAAGCCGAGATGGGTGGTTGCGATGTCTGATGAAGACCACGACTCCACTCCGAACTGAGAAACAGTGACTACATTGTGTGAACTCTGTTTTGTTTTTCATCATAAACACCGGACGAGCAAAGAGTGGTTTGAGAAAATGTAATCAGAATTTTGCCCAGTAAGACTTCGAGTTGTGAGAATCGTGTTGTTGACATTTTTACCCACTGTTCCACACGACTGTTGAGGGAACTTCTCTTTTGCACTGTTGCTGCCAAAATTGAACTTTATCGATGCAGGTTTCAGCAAATTGAGCGCAGGAGGAGTTGTTTGATGACTATCGACAACCAGGCGGTCCGGTGTGACAGTGTAGCAGAGATAAGGTGGGAGTGTATTGAACCCTGATTGGATCTCTAATTGTGGTTTTATAGGAGTCCGGTCCTGTCTAAATCAAGACGCTGTGGAGCGTAGAGAAGTTAGTGTTGTGTTAAATCACATACGCTGGAGGACGTGAGGAGTCTGCGGCGACAGGAGCTTGTTGGACAACTACATGCTTGTTGAGAAGAAAAAGTGAGCATTGATTGTGAC